GAATGCAGTCATGATAGGCTTTGAGTATTGAATCACGGAGATTCCTTGGAACTGCAATCTGTTTGACAAGTCGTTCATCTTTTGGCACTTTCTTACAACGTTTTGAGTAGAAGTGTTTTAAAATTCCATCTTCTAACTCAAAGTTGAATGATTCGGCTACGACTGCCCTTGCAAGTTCTGGATTCTGAGGTACTCTTCCTGACTGTTTGTATTTAATAATATTGGCAAAGTCTTTACATGTTCCTTGTTCTTCGGCTAGATTTGTTAATTGAATATCATTGATTGTCACGGTTTGTAGACTGGCAATAACTGCATCTTCATTTTCACCCTTATATATAAATGTAACTTCAGTATATTCTTTCGGTATATCTATGGAGCCTAAATGGTCTGCAAGTTCACTAGAGTCATATGAAGCACTATTGTTAATTTCTAAATGTTTTTGTCTTGATAAGCAGTCTGCTGGGTTTTTAGATCCTGCGCGATGTTGAATTTTAAAATTATATCCTTGTAACAGCAAACTCCACCTACCAAGTCTTCCCTGACAATCTTTGATTTTTTGAAGATACTTAACTGAGATATTGTCTGTATATACTGTGAACTCTTGATTTGCCAAATAATGTTTAAAATGTTGAACTCCTTCCACTAATGCCAAAGCCTCTTTGTCAGTAATATGCCACTTAAGTTCTGAACCCCTTAATTGTCTACCGCCATAAGCAATTACATGTTCTAATCCATTTTGGATCTGACTTAAAATATATCCATTTGAAAACTCTGAAGAATCGGTTGCTAAGATGAAAGGTTTGTCTAAATGAGGAAACGATAAAATTGGAGCTGATGTCAAACGGTCTTTTAAATTTTCAAACGCAATATCACATTCTGGAGTCCACCTGAATCTTTGATCTTTCTTTAGAAGCTTTGTTAATGGAGCTGCTATGTGGGCATAGTCCTTCACAAATTTCCTATAGTAGTTTGCCATTCCTAAAAAACTTTTAACTTGCTTTGCAGTGGTTGGTTTGGAGAAGTCGTTTACTTTTTCTGTATTTTCCGGATTGACACGGATGCCGTCTTTTGATATAACATGTCCGAGATACTTGATTGTTCCTGTCGCGAACTTACATTTTTCAGGATTAAGTTTCAGGTTTGCTTCACTTAGGTTGGAAAAGACTTGTTGAAGGTGATTAAGGTGGTCTTCAAAGTTCTTTGAGAAAATAAGAATGTCATCTATGTAAACTAATGCAATTTTGAAATTTAAGTCCTTAAGCACTTTTGTCATTAAACACTGAAAAGTCAATGGAGAGTTCATCATACCGAATGGAAGTCTATTAAATTCATATACACCTTTATGCGTAATGAATGCACTCTTATGCTTAGTTGCTGGGTCTAGCGGGACCTGCCAAAATCCGGACGTTAAATCGAGAGATGAGAATATTTCTGCTTTTGAATCTGCCAAAGTGTCAAATATATCAGTCATAGTTGGAATTACTGCTGACATGGGTTCTGTTATACGGTTTAAAGCCCTAAAATCTACACATACGCGAATACTTCCATTTCTTTTCTTAACAAGTACGACTGGACTATGCCATGGTGAAGTAGACTCCTCAATAATATTATATCTTTCCATTTCATCAAGTTGTTTATCTAATTCTCTGCGCATTTGTGGAGATTGTCTATATGGAGCAGCACTAATTGGTTTTGCATCACCAGTATAGATTGTGTGGAAATGCAAGTTGGTATGTCCCAGTTCACTTAAATCCTTTGCAAATATGTCCCTATTTCGAATAAGAAAATTTTGAATTTGTTGTTTTTGTTCCACTGTAAGTTCTAAATTGTCTAAATTAAATCCTAGTTCTGAAAATTCACTACAAAGCTGATTACTAGTTGTTTGGCTAAGAGAGTTTATAGGAGCTGATGATCCTTCTGTGAACTTTGTAACACAGTTAGACTGTATAGTTTCGGCTTTCGCAATTTTAGTCCTTCTTGGAATGTAAACTGTTGAATTTGTAGGATTCATAAGTCTGTATGAAGCCATGCCTCTTAGCACTGTAGAAATTGTCTTTCCTCCTGCTACCTGATGTTCAATAGATAAGTTTCCTTTAGGTTCTAAAATTACAGTTGTTCCATGTTTGAATTTTCCAATATGTACTGGAATTATGATTTCAGATTGCGGTTGTATTTCGACTAAATCCACTGTGGTTGCCATGGCAATCTGAACGTTGTCATCTAAGAATGTTGGAATAGTAACTGTAGAAACTATGTTCTCCTTTCCTTTAAGTGTAGCACTATCTTTTCCTGTTACATTAGGCACAGATATTGTCATTTTTCCAAAATCCAAATTAACCTTATGGGTTACCAAGAAGTCCAATCCAAGAAGTATTTTTGAATGAAGGGTTTCGAAAATGTGAAAGTTCTGTAAAATTTTGTGTTCGCCGAATCTTATTTCCAAAGTAGCTTTTCCTAGCACTGGGTGTACTTCTCCGCATACTCCAACTCCACTAAAAATTGATGATCTCTGTATGTCAGCTTGAGGTTTTAGTTGTTTTAAAAGATGTTGACTTATACAACTTATTGTTGCACCACTGTCAATTAAGCACTTTTGGTTTGAATTTTCAATGTTCAGGTACATAAAGTTTCTTTCTAAAGATGATTTAAATTCTATATCTGCTTCTCTTGCTGTAACAGTTGAAAGACTTGCACATTTTGATCTTCTGCAGCACCATATATTCTTAATTCTTTTCTTTCCCATGACTTCTACTAAAAGAATTTTTGCTATATTAAATAAAATCTATTCACAGAATAAAAAGGCAATATGCTACATGAAATGTGTGTAAAACTACAAAATTTCTGAACTTTATTGCTGTCTCAATAAATTATATTCACAACTTTTCTTTGAAGAAACTTTTTGCTTTAATAACTAGCAATTTAATTTCGAGAATTCTTATGAATATTATTATTTCAAAAGCTACTTATCTTTAGTCTCTGTTGTAGATCTATTTTGTTCACACACTGCAGTTGTCTTTCTTTACGAATAGTTTGCCAACTTTGGTATAGCTACTTTTAAAGTTGAAAACTGAAACTAAACAAGATTATAATTAGACTTCTGTAAATGGTAGACCATGAAAAAAAAATTCATTTGAATACTACCAATGACTTTTACAGATTTAAAACTAATTTTATTTTTAATCTATTTAGATTCAATCTTGCACAATAGTTGCTGAAACTAGAAAAATTTAAATATAACTGTAAAGAAAAAATAAATAATATTTTAATAAGTTACTTATCTTCAATAGTAGATCCTCAGTTTCTGTTGTTCCTTCTGTTCAATTTTTGTTATGAAATTCCTTCGCAAATTTTGTAAGTAGATAATTTAAAAGTAATTTTGAAAGCTGTTGCTAATAATAATGCCATGCCAAAGCTAAAAGGATCGAAATTCTGCCCAACGGGTCCGCCACCAAATCTGTCACCAAGAGCCAGTGCACGTCGAGTTTAAGGGGGACTATCGAACATGCACCACCCAAGGGACAGGAGGTCAGTCTTTCGCAAGACTTGAGCGATGGCAGGCAAAACTATAAAGCAAGCAGCAAGTTGTAACAGTTTTATATAATAACAGATCTAAATGTTGATAATAATTCCAAAACAATAAACAAACAATCAAAATCCAAATGTTCTAAATTAGAAAGTCACTAATGCAAAATCACAGTTAAAGTTGAAAGTTCTATATGTCCAAAGTTAAAGTTCAATTAAAATATTTCCACTAAATGTTTCATTTGAAGTCCAAAGATTGGTTGAGTTGAGTTGATCGAGTTTGAGTCTTTTGAGTTGATGATTTTCCTCAGAGTAACCGAGCCTGGTTGGCTTTGGAAGCACTCCTTTCTGGATGACACCGACGAGACTAGACTGACGAATAACTGTTCGACCCCGATATTTAAGGCGAATGCTGAAAACTACTCATAAAATGACAGACATTGATAATTTTGATAATTGAGATAATTTGAGTATTAATACTATTGTTCAAAAATGTCCAAAGGTGAAATATGAATAATGTCAATTACAGAGATACAAGTTAATTACATTTATGATACTAATTAAAACCTAATATTGCTCAGATTAATTAATGACAATTGACAAAATACTAAAACGTTGCTCAGAGCAATTATTTACAAGCGACATGTTTCACAAAATTTACCTGAGTAATTAAATCAAAATTTGTCATACAATTATTTCATAATTTCATATTTTCTAAAATAATATATTTTCTCAATAAAATTCACTTTAAAAACTTTTACATAAAAGAACACCTATGACATATTACTTGGAACCATTCCCTTAACTTTTGTCCTTCTATATTTAGGAATTGTTTATCATAGTTTGTCCGGAACCGGAAGTAATATTGATGGACTTGAATGTATATCTTCTTTATTATTAAAAATAAGTGGACCCCTTTTTTAGAAAAGTTCCAAAAATAATGAATTTTTCCACTTTTAAGTTAAAAAAGCTAAGATTTTCTTTTTTCTTTTCTACAACAGCAAAATGACCCCTTGTCTGGGGGACAGTCCTTCATTTAAGGGATATCCCTCATTTGGAGGGTTGTTCCCAACCTGATAAATTATATTTATAAATCAAGGTAATTAGGTCACAATGTGTACCTTAAGGATAAAGTGATAAAAGATAAAAGTGAACTCAATGAATGCACCAGTGACTTATTCATAAAAAGAGTCTGTGTATCTTCATACAAAGTGTCCTGTTACACACCCCAGAGTGTACTGTTTTTAACTAAGCTATGCTGGGGGCAAAGTTGTACAACTTATATTAAAACTTTTCCCTTTAGGGGAATGTTTTATTATCTGAACAAAATTCTGTTACATAATTTGGTGAAATACCTTTGTCAGGTTAAATTATTTTTGTACACAGCCAGTTACTCAAGTGTGAAGTGAGTAGATGTGAGTGAACAGTTTTATTTCCTGTATGATCATGTGATCAAAAGGTTAGAATTTGACTCCAAATTATAAGTTTGATCTTTAATTCCTTGAATAAAGACATGGATTATTTCCTTAGAATTTTGTTGGTACACTAAAGAGGTTTATGAGGAGTTTAAGGTATTAATTAGTTATAATTATTTGCTTAAATGCGATCTCTTTGGGATTTGAAAGCTTTTAATTCTAGAAAATTACTTTTATAGAATCAAAAAGATTTCACAAAATTTTCATGCATAATAAGGTTGGATGTGAAACAAAATGGTGACTATTACAGTTTCTTCACATTAGTTTATATATTAAACACTCTTCCAAATGTCCGTACATGTCTACAAATTTACAAGTTTTGCAAAAGCAGAGGCTGATTTAAGGGGGTGCCCTTCCCCTATATGGAGCTACATTTATGGGCCCCCCTTTTCAAAATCCTGGATTTGAAAACCTTATATTTATTAATATTTCTAGGGTCATTTGACTTAAAGAAAATCCAAATGTATTGCAGCGAGTTTGACTTCTCTCATCAGCAAGTAGATTGTTCTAGTCTACCGGTATGTGAAAATTTTTATGACCTGTTTTAATATTAAATGTTTCTTTTCAGTTCTTGGAGTACTATGAACTTACAGTCGTCTAACTTTGTATTCAAATGCATTTAGGATAGCCAGACATTCTTACAACTCCATTATATAGACTTTCAACAATGGTAGACACAGTGTATACAGGTATAATAGTTTAAAAAAAAAACAAAAAAACTTTTACAAACCCTGTTTTTTTTACCTTTTGGATACTTGTAGCTAAAAAGATTAATCAGATATAAATTATAACATATCTTTTCAACATAATAATATCTGTCTGTTTCTTTGCTTTAGTTATAAGCTGATATTCAGTATTTACAAATATTTGCCATGTATTATATAATTTATAGCCATCTACATCTACAACCATATGAACCGCAATAGGTCACGGAACAATAACCTTAATCTTACTTAATGATATTTACATGCAAAGAAATGTTTTATGGTTTAAGTTTTACAGAATAATATTAAATATTATATATTGGATATGTTGTTATTCTTGTTGAGATAGATATATTAGAAATTGATTGAAATATGACATTGATTTAAGAAGAATTTTTTGTACTAAAGAAAACATAAACAATGCGGGTTACACTTATCAATCCTTTAAATAAACTTATTCTAAAAGGTTACCTATTCAACAGTGTAAATAAATCTTTGAATATTGTTTTTATTGGTGTAAATATTGATTTTGTCATCAATGAATTAAAACCATACTAAATATTACACATGTGTACTTTCACCGTTCTACAATCTGTCAATACCTATAGTTTGGCATTGCACAAGGTCATGTTTTTCTCTGACTATTATTGACGTCTTTACCCTTAATCCATTGGATGTTGGATGTGAACTGATTGATATTTAAGCCTTAGATACATGATTTTTATGTTTTTCGGTCTGTGGGTCAGTTCGTTTGTCCGTTCATTAGTCTGTTCGTTCGTTTGTCTGTCGGTTCGTTCATCTGTCGGTTATTCGTCTGTCGGTTCTTTCGTTCGTCTGTTTCTTCGTTCGTCTGTCTGTCCTGCTTCAGGTTAAAGTTTTTAGGTTAAAGTTTTTGGTCAAGTCAGTTTTTGATGAAGTTGAACTTGAAACTTAAGTACACATGTTCCCTATGATATGTTTTTTATTAGTTGTTATTGGCTTTGAACTAGCTGTCAGTAACTGCGAGTACTCTCATTCTTTATGTGCCTGTCACAAGTCAGGAGCCTGAAAGTTCAGTGGTTGTCCTTGGTTCAATTTTGTCATATTTGTTTTTATGTAAACTGTTTATAAATTAGGCTGTTAGTTTTCTCAATTGAATTGTTTCATATTTTTAGTGTCTTAGGGCCTTTTAAACCTGACCATATGATTTAGGTTTATCTCATTGTTGAAGGCCGTACAGTTGCCAGTATAATGACTTGCATCTACTTCATTTGAACTTTGGTGGACAGTAATGTCTCATCATACCACATCTCCTTATTTTTATATGAATGTCTTAGATTAAATAAACATTTTATAAAGAAGTCTATAAATAAAATAAAGTTTTAAGTTTCCATCCTTTCAAATATTTTATACTTATCTGATATTTTAGAGGAACCGAACAACTGAACAGAGCAGAACAGTATTCAATGACCTTGAAGAGCAAGCAATGTGTACAGTGAAACAGCTATCTTTGTAGTTACCAAAGGGTTACGGCAAGAACCTCATCTATAATTATATGTGGTGAGTATTTTTTTGTTGGTTAAAAATTATGCAATAGGGTACTATAATTTTTTTTCTTGGAGTCTATTTACCTATTAGGTACTTGGGACTGGACAATTTATTTTTAACACTCCCCCTTTTTTCCAGAATCTCTTATTTTTTTGTTTTCTATTAATTTCAATTATTTTTGCGTTTTTCTGTTGTATGAACATAAATATACTAAAAATAACTTGTAGTTGCTATTTTCTATCAATTTCAAGTTTACTATCCACAGCGGTCACTGATATATATTATATAGAGGGAAGGTATCTCACCTCATACCTCATCACCTATTTTCCTACTTGAATTCTTTGAGAGATCCCTCATCTAATTCATAAAATATTAAATTTCCTTCAGGTCAGTGGGCATGACTCTTTTCTGTTATCATTCCTCATATATTTTCATGTATATTGTTGTATATATATTTATTTTTACAGAGGATGACCTTGAGGTCATTCCGATGTATTTCTATCGCCTAAATTTCCATTATGCAAATTAGTTTTGGGATTTCAACGGATCTATAAAAATTATAGATCCGCGGTCATTACAAGGGAAAAAAGTGCATTTTTAAACCTGCGATTCTGTTCTCCGTTCGTACGATGTTTCATCAAAAAATGGAATCATTTCAGTTGTTGATTTAGTACTGAAAATTTGACTGAATTATCTCCTTATTAAATACGGTTTTATATGTTTAATAGGTGTTTAAGAAAGAGGTCAGGTGCTCATGTTCATTCAGAAAATTATCGTTCATTCATGAATTTATCGTAAAATCAAAATCACTACACAGGTCACACAGCTTGTATACGTAGTGTCAAAAGATTACCTGTATAGTATCTAAAAATAGACAAACTTAACTGACTCCTCTTACTGTAGTGTGTGATAACATTTTGTGAGGGAATTCGATGTTTGCTATACCACTGTTCATATCAACGCACTTTATGACGATACCACTTTATCAATATGAATGAAATTTTTTGCAGTGTTTTAAGAAATAATTTTACTTTAAAATCGCGTATCATTTGTGAACTATTAAATGTTTTACAAGGACGAATTTTCTGTATAAAGTCAATAATTGTGTGAACTTTTGAAGCCCAAACTTTTTATAGCCTTAAATACGCTAATGAAAGATCCGAAAACTATACCCATACAGAACAACATGTTTTTGAAATTGTAGCAAAACTTTTGGTTGACAAATTTTAATTCGTTATTGCATAAATATTAACTTGAAATATCTGTCATTTTCTCCCTACCCAGTTTACCTCTATTACTCATTATGATGTGGACTTGACATTGTTATTGAATCTTATGCAATTTGATTGGATTAAGTTATTATTAGATTACCTTCAAACTGTTCATGCTTTTACGTACGAGTATATTGATTAAATCAGAGCGTGCATGAATGTGTACAGAAAATTAAATGACCTGCAAACTGGACACTGGACCAGTCCATATTACGTTTTATCAATGAATAGATTTTTTTTTTATTTCCCAAATTACAGGGCCCATAAAGGGCATAAAATCAGATACAATTGATTTACATAATTGGTAACAACAACAATAATAGCGGCATATAAATAGATATTTAGTATATAAGAATTGGTCAGAATCAGATGAACGAAACTTAAGGTATGAAAGGTAACAATTGCCACTTTTTATCTTTTCACATAATTTTCCACATACACATTAGATAAATTATTTTTGATAGCCTATTGCGGAGAAAAAAGAGAAAGTTTACTGTATTAACGTTCTATTCCATTAAATACGCAATTTTTCGAAGATAAATGCAGAAAAACATTTATGAACGGCTACGCCAGGTAAAATTGTTGTTTATCCTAAAAAAAAATACAATTTTCAGTTTCATTAGAATATTATAATAATAATAAATCCCAAATTTATGTAGTCATTAGATAAAGTCCTTATATGTCCGATCTGCCTATTTTTGGACATCAAAAGACAATACGATCGTTTTAAGGTCAATTTCGTCTACCTCACACAATCTTGTTAGGCACTATAATGAAATGGACCTGAAATTTATTTCACATGTTTCCTGAAAATTGACAATATCAAAGCAACATAGAGCTGTTTGTTCTAGTTCGTATAATGACAATTTAATGTCATGTTTGTTTGTGATGACCCCCCCTTTTCGGGATTGCATCAGAATTATAGTTATCTCGTATCGCATGAGGATGACACATGTCAACTGAGCAATTATGTTTGGGACTTAGTTTTAAGAAATGATGTCAAAGTAACATTATGAAAATATTTTTAGTAAGCTGAAATATATATTTATTTTTTACATGTTTATGTCTTGTAAGATATTTTATTTCTGTCCCGTTTTTCAACATTTGCGTCTGGAAAGTTGAAATGTTTTAACTGAATGGTTAATTTAAATTAATTATGAAAATGGTTAAAATTAAATCAATAAAGGAAATTATTGCCCAGTTACAAACACTACCAGGGGATAATCCATAATGATTTTTTTTCAGTTATATGTTTCAGCACATGTATAATTAACCCCAACTTTAGCCTGGTAAACTTGTTGTCTCCTTGTAAAATATAAAACATATTTAAAATGATTTCCTGCTAAAGTCTTATATTGATATAAAGTTAAAACCGTCTTGCTTCTCACTAGTCAACACTCCTGTCCTGTCAGGTTTAATTCTTATATATATGGATGAAAAATAAAAGTCCACAAAACATTAACATGGCAGCAATTGCTTTTACAGCCTTTTAGACTTTGATTTTTTTTTACAGAAGAGTGTCCACCATGCACTTGCATTACACTATAATAATAGTAGAATAGTATGATATACAAATAGATGAAAATTATATATACATGCAACCGTAATATTAATATAATATATAACAACAAACCAGTGTATTCTCTGGAACTATTATTATATTAGTATAATAGTCTAAGGTATACTGATTTGTATCACTACAATATAATAGTTATTACGGTGAGGTTGAATTTCCTGTCATTTATTCATCATCCAAGCACAAACTTGTATAAGAAAAAAAAATCTCTGTAAATTAACCTCAGTTTCAGGTATAGAGATGTGATCTGTTTCTGTGACATGTGCTTTTGACCATCCACAAGAACCTGCGATCATCCGATGTTCAGTACTTCAGTACTTTGATTTATATAGGTTTCTTCAAAGAATTGATGGTAAGGTAGCTACAGAACTGTAGCTCTTAGGTCTTTATAATATATCATAAGGACCTAATTGAGCTATGGTTCCACACCTCATAGTAAGATTGGTGGATTTATTTCTTTTTATATATTTTCATGTGTATATGGTTGTATATATATTTATTTTTTAAATAGGTTTCTTCAAAGAATTGACCCCCCGGTGGATCGCTATCCTTGCCGTGGTCGGGGGGCTTGCGTGTCTCAGTGACCCCAAGAGCTATGCCAGCTGGAGCTTTGTCTCCTGGTAGGGTTACCCATGCTGGACAGGTCGAAGGGTAGAGACCAGACTAAAGTGATCCGAACATCGTACGAGTTGCCCGATGTTTTGAATAAAATAGGCGCTCCAACCCGTTTGCCGTGGGTTGCTACCCGTGTCGGTGGTTGACGAGATCCTTGCGGATGAGGGCTGTAGCCAGACTCCTTACGGTCAGAAAATACCCTGACGGACAAGACTATAGTTCAATAAGCTGCTTTGGCTCCAATATCATCTAAACGGGAGGTCGGATGGACCCGGTTCGATCAATCGGCTGGTCATGTCGAGCCCTTTAGTTTATCCTCAACAATAAGCTTTCTTGTAACAATTTTCATGATATACACATGTGTTTTAAATAAAGCTATTTATATTTCGGATAACTGAAGAAGGCGATGGCTCATGGGTCAATCAAGTGGTACGCTTTCTATTTCGCTTGATGGATACGCTCTGCTTGAGTATACCATTCTTGGAACATCTGGTGCTTTCCGCAGTGGATCTTTGGTTCTAATTTTGGGGACCAGCTACGTTATACATGTTATACTTGGAGCTCGTTTTCAGCATTAGCACTTGACCCCGGCTCGCCACGGAAACACAGCATCGCCCTTGTAGGCACTCCGAGGTGGGTGGATGACAAGAATGGTGAATCTTTCTCATTTCCTATGGCACAACAAAACCAACCCTCTAAATCAGCTTTAATACATAAAAAAAGAAAATGTGATGATTCAGTGCCCTGTCAGGAAGATGACAGTTGGCCCAGATTTATTGTAATAAAAGGAACAGATGAAAAACCAATTTCCAAAATATCTCCCTTTGTGATTCACAAACAAATTCAAAGCGTTGCTGGTACTGTAAAAAAAGTTTCAAAAATGAGATCAGGCAATTTGTTGGTTGAATGTTCCAACAAAAGTCAATCGACAAATTTGCTTACACTGACAACAATTACAAACTTTCCTGTTTCTGCCTCTCCTCACAACAGTTTGAACAGCTGTAAGGGGATCATTCGAGACAGAAGTCAATACCTTGGTGACCTTACCGTGGAAGAAATCTGTGAGGAACTTTCAAGCCAAGGTGTAACTGATGTTGTTAGATTTCAAATAAAAAAGAATGGAAATATAATCAAATTAAATACATATCTTTTGACATTTAGAACTCCAACTCCTCCTCCATCTATTACTTTAGGTTGCTTCGGAATCAGAGTTGACAGGTTTATCCCTAACCCAATTCGATGCTTCACTTGTCAAAAGTTTGGTCATGGAAGCAAACAATGTCGTGGTACGCAGAGATGCTTCAAGTGTTCTGACGAAGGACACGAGGGAACAACCTGTAGCTCTGAATCTTCTAAATGCGTAAACTGTGGTGAATCCCATTTTTCATCATCTAGGGACTGCCCTGTTTACCTTAAAGAAAAAAATATTATCAAAATTAAAACAGAAAGAAACATCAGTTACCCAGAAGCTAAACAGATAGCTTCTGTTTCGAATGATCTCCTTGTTTCGAACAGACCATCGTACGCCAGCAAAGTTGTCCGCTCATTCA